TTTAACTGTAAATTTCCCACCTGGTTATGGAAGTTTTAAATTGTATCCTGATTCTTCACAAAGTCGATCAATGCATTTAAGCTATGCCCCTCCTTATATATCCCAATGTAACTATAAAGACTCAAAGATAACATTAAACGGTTTTAATTTTCACAATGAAGGAAGAGTTGCTCAGGTTACTGTTAATGGACGACGTAAATATATTTCTTCAATTGATCATCGTTTATTAATACTTGATTATTATTTTATTGAGCATTCTGAAAGATTATATATAAATGTAATTATTGGGGATGTTGCAATAGAAAATATTTATAATTGTGATATAAAGCCACAACCTGTGTCGATTACTACAACTGTATCAACTTCAAAATATAATAGTGGTATAATTACAATATCTGGAAGTTTTATGTCATCACCTGGATCATTAAGTACAAATGTATCTTTAATCAATAGTGATAATAAAATCTATAATTGTGAATATATATCATCAACAAAATCTCAAATAGTTTGTTTATTGGAACCTGGTAAAGGATTAGTAAATAAAGTTAAAATTAAAATAGATGATGTTGAAAGTTTGACTGAAATGAACTTTAAATATGGTGTCCCTCAATTTACATCAACAAATGCAATTCAAATTGATAGAACAAACGAATTTTCATTGATAGGTATTAACTTTGGTAATATTAACGATAAAAATGGTACAGTTAAACTTTTAATTGATGGAAATGAAAATAAAGAAATAATAACAACATCAATAAGTAATGATGAAACTAAATTATCATTTAAATTACCAAATATATGTGAAACATCTGTAAAACTATCAATTGAAGTCAATGGTGCTATTTCAAATAATAGTATAATCATAAAACCACAATCTACATTTATATTAGCTCCATCAAGACCATTAACAAATGGATCATCATTACATATTGATAAATACTTTTCATGTAAAGATAAAATTGTAAAACCATCTATTACTGTTGATAGTTCTAATAATCATATTGATTGTACTATAATTTCAAGTTTTGTAGCAAGCTGTAATGTTGGTGTTGGAACTGGTAAACATTCATTTAAATTTTATGAAGATGGTATTGAAAAAATCAATTTATTTTTTCAATATGCACCACCAACAATTGTATCACATAATGTCAATGGGTTAAAAACAATTACATTAACTGGTTATAACTTTGGTATTGATTCATCAAAATGTAATTTAATGTTTGCAAATAAAAATGTAACATGTAAAGTTATCAGTGATACAACTATAACATTCGATGCAGATTCACAATATGATTATGGTAATGTTAATCTTATAATCGATAGTATTCCAATGTCAAATGATAACTATAAAATAAAGCAAAACTAAAAAATGGAAAATCAAATGTATAATTGTGGAAGCAAATTTAGTGGGAGAATTTGTCAATCAAAATAAAAAAAATATTACAAAATTTTTTTTTTTTTTTTTTTTTTTTTTTTATTATTTTTTTTTTTATTTTTTTTATTTTTATTTTTATTTTTATTGCAATAAAAATGATATTTTTTTCATATTAAAAATTTAAAAAAAAAATTAAAAAAATTTTGCATTTTTAGAAACATTTTTTATTTTTATTTTTATTTTTATATTTTCAATTTTAATTCTATATTTATTTTCATTGTTAATTGAAAGCAACATTATTAAACATGGTAAATATTTGCTAATGGATAATGCACCAATTCATACAAGTCGAATTGATCAAGTTGTTTCCAAAGCTCAAGTAAGAAACTATTTAGACAAAGAAATATTTTACGATTAAATATTTAAGATAAATAAAAAGAAAATGAATAAACAAATTAATAAATAAATCTCAAAATTCAATCTCAAAGTAAATATAATTTTTTAATTAATT